TTATTTATGTATTTAATATTATTCAATGAGGTTGTATCCTTTTCTGAATAAAAGTTCTATAGATATCTTGTTAGATTTATTCCCACATACTTCCTATTTTTGATAATGTAAATAATAGCTTTAAATTCTTTTGCTTGTTTTTGACATATATAAGTACAATGAATTTTTTATTAATAACTTTATGTCAGGTGCCTGGGTGGCTCAGTTGGTTAAGCGACTGCCTTTGGCTCAGATCATGATCCTGGAGTCCCGGGATTGAGTCCCGTATCGGGCTCTCTGCTCAGCAGGGAGTTTGCTTCTCCCTCTCCCACTCCCCCCTCTTGTGCTCTCTCTCTCTCTCATTCTCTCTCTCAAATAAATAAAAAAAATAAAAAATAAAAAATAAAAAATAAAAAAAAATAACTATGTCCAGCATCCTCACTAAACTCTTAGCTCTATATGTTGTCTCTTTTCTTGTTTTTTTCCTTTACCTTCTTTTTAATTCACCAGGTACGTTTTTCTAATTTTACTTCTTCCCCTTTGCTAATTTAGAGGTTACACTGTTTCTATTCTTTTAAAGGTTGTTATAGAAGTTACAATATGCATATTTAAGTTATCAAAGTCCAAAGATAATCATCACCTTTCCATCTTTCCTAATGACTGAGGAACTCAGAACACTATTTCATTCCCCACTATCACATTTCACACCCAGATTTATATGCTATATTTTTAAATTTTTTAATCCCACAAGACATTATATAGTCTTATACAATTTATATTTATTTAGATTTGTCCTCATTTTTACCATTTTCTGTGCTCTTCATACTTTTTTTGCATCTCAGACCTTGTATCTAAGATCACTTTTCTTTTGCCTTATGTATTTTTGTATTTGTATTTTAATTATTTTTAATTTTTAATTTTTTAAAAGATTTTATTTATTTGACAGAGACAGAGAGAGAGCACAAATAGGCAGAGAGGCAGGCAGAGGGAGAGGGAGAAGCAGGCTCCCCGATGAGCAGGAAGCCCAATGCGAGACTCGATCCCAGGACCCTGGGATCATGACCTGAGCCGAAGGCAGATGCTTAACCCACTGAGCCACGAGGCACCTCTTAATTTTTAATTTTTAAAAATTTTTATTTAAGCTCAATTTAATTAACATATACTGTGTTATGAGTTTCAGAGGTAGAATCCAATGACTCATCAGTTGCATACAACACCCAGTGCTCATTACTTCAAGTGCCCTCTTTTATGCCCATCACCCAATTACCCCATCCCCCCACCCACCTCCCCTCCAGCAATCCTCAGTTTGTTTTCCACAGTTACAAGTCTCTTATGATTTGCCTCCCTCTCTGTTTTCATCTTATTTTATTTTTCCTTCCTTTCCCCTATGTTCATCTGTTTTGTTTCTTAAATCCCACATATGAGTAAAATCATATGGTATTTGTTTTTCTTTGATTGACTTATTTTGCTTAGCATAATACCCTCTAGTTCCATCTACATCATTGCAAATGACAAAATTCCATTCTTTTTGATGGCTGAGTAATATTCCTATATATATCCTATGTATATAGGAGATACATATATATATATATCACATCTTCTTTATCCACTCATCTGTCAATGGACATTTGGGCTTTTCCATATTTTGGCTTTGCATTTTTATTAGTGAGGGTCTGATGGTAACTTAGTCTGTCTGAAAATATCTGTATTTATAACCTTATTCTTTTTTTTTTTTTTTAAGATTTTTTTTTTTTTTTTTTTTTTTTATTCATGAGAGACAGAGCGAGAAAGGCAGAGGGAGAAGCAGGCTCCCAAGGAGCAGGGAGCCCGATGTGGGACTCGATCCCAGGACCCTGAGATCATGACCTGAGCCGAAGGCAGACGCTTAACCATCTGAGCCACCCAGGCGCCCTATAACCTTATTCTTGAAAGATATTTTTGCTGGATAGAGATTCTGGATTGACATTTACTCTCTCTCAGCACAATAAAGATATCATTTCATTGTATTCTGGTTTCAGGGTGTTGTTAATAATAAGTCAGTTACTCTTTCCTTTTTCTATAATTTGTCTAGTGACAACTTTTTCTTCTCTTTGCCTTTAGTGTTCTCTGATTTCACAAGAATGTGTCTAGATAGGGATTTTGTATTTATCCTTGAGATTATTTGGCTTGAGTGTGTGGGTTATTTTTCATTAGTTTTCAAAAATGCTCAATTATAAATCTTCAAATATTTCCTCTTCCCCATTCACTTTTCTAATTAGATGTACATGACATTTTATCACTTTATCCTCTATGATTCTTAGCCTGTCCTATTTTCTACTTCTTGCTATCTTCTTTGTAATTGCCTTAGATTCATCATTTCTCTCTTCAAGATGTCTGCTCTATTATTACATCCATTAATTGAGTTTTTTATTTCATTCTATTTCATTATTTAGAAGTTATATTTGGCTATTTTACTTTTCTTTTTTTAAGATTTTATTTATTTATTTATTTGAGAGAGAGAGAGGAGAGAGTTGGGGGGAGGGGCAGAGGGAGAGAATCTCAAGCAGATTCTGCACTGAGCACAGAGCCCAAACACAGGGCTCAATCCCATGACCCTGAGATCATGACCTGAGCTGAAATCAAGGGTTGGATGCTTAAATGACTGAGCCACCCAGGCACCCCTATATTTGGCTATTTTAAAAATATGGTTTTTTTAAAATAATTTCCTGTCTCGTACTGATATTTTCAAGTTTGTCCTTTATTTCTTTAAGTGGAATAATTATAGTTAATTTCTAACTTGTGTTTCATAATTTCAACATCTGAAATCTATGGTGGCCTTTTCTGTTATCTCTGCTGGTTCTTGCTTATGCATTTTCTTGGTAGATTTAATTATTCCTACTATGAGATGTTCATTTTTTTGGAATTTTATTTGTGGAACTTCTTTGAGGCCTAAAATAAAGTGGGTTTCTTCCAGAGACTATCTTAAGCCTTTTTTTTTTAAGATGTATTTATTTATTTGAGAGAGAGAGAGAGAGAAAGTGGGGGGAGGGGCAGAGGGAGAGAACCTTCAAGCAGACTCCCCACTGAACGCCGAGCCTGACGTGAGGCTTGATCCACTGACCCATGAGATCCTGACCTGAGCAGAAACCAAGAGTCAGACACTTAACCAACTAAACCACCCAGGTGCCCCAAAACTATCTTAAGTCTTAAGACTGCTTGAGATTTTTTTGTAATTCATATAAGGGCCAGCTTGTGGCTACAAATTCTTGGCCACCATTTCCCTCCTTTACTCAAGCAGCTGAGACGCTTGATTTTACTGTCAGTCCCCAGAGGTAGGGAGAAACAAATTGCTTCTAGGTCATCCTTATGTTAAGGAATTGGCAAGTGAGGGCCAGTAAGCCAGATCCGGCCCATCACCTGTTTTAGTAAATAAAATCTCATTGGAACATAGCCACACCCATTCACATATTGTTGATCACTGCTTTAGAATTACAACAACAGAGTTGAGTAGCTTTGACAGAGACCATATAGCCCACAAAGCCTAAAATATTTACCATCTGATCCTTTACAAAAAAGAGTTTACTAACCCCTGGTGTAGTCCATTGGGGTTCCAGCTTTATGGAGTTAACTCCTATAGAACTCCCCAAATTAAGCTGTCTCCAGTCTCCTAAATCCTGTGAGGCAGTGGAAACCAAAACTGAAGTTCACTAAGTTTGACTAATACTAGCTAATGAAAACTAGCTACAATGCTCTGCTTAACTCTCTAGTTTCCTGACTACATTCAATGCCTATTCTGAAAATGTCTTTATTAAGAGCATATCAATTATTTAAGGATTGATAACTTCTTTCTTTCATATTTTATGTAGGAGTTTTGTTATTTACAGCAAAAAGATTGGTCCAGGTATTTATTCTGCCACATTCCTAGAAAGTAAAGGCTGAATGATTTTTAAAAGTATTTTAATACAGTAGGAGCTCTTTTAACCTGACTCCACTGAACTGACTCAGTAAATTAAATGATATAAAACATAATGATATCTAAGGCAACTGAATACTCTCAATTAGTAGACTTTCATATGGGAGGTCTATGTACTTCTGCTCATTGGTTGTTGCATAACAAGAATTAGTCATGTTCATATCCAAATGTATTTATGCCAATTATATCTCATAGTTATATAATATGAGGTAAGTCACTAAAATACAAGTGTAAAAGAAATGCATAGTAAAGATAACCAGTATATTTAGGATTGAGACATGAATAGATGTAACACAGAACATATCAACTAAATTAGTAATGTTTTATTTTTTTTTTTGCTGTGTGTTGGATACATTGACGTTTATTATACTTCAACTCTTTTTCTATGTCAAGCATTTCATAATTAATTTTTTAATAATTGTTTCTTTTTAAAAAAAAATAAATAATTGTTTCTTTTTTAAAGATTTTATTTATTTGAGAGAGAGTCAGAGAGAGCATGAGCAGGGGGAGGGACAGAGGAAGAGGGAGAAGCAGACTCCCCACTGAGTGAGGAGTCCAAAGTGGGACTCAACCCCAGGATCCTGAGATCATGACCTGAGCCGAAGTCAGAAGCTTAACTGACTGAGCTACCCAGGCGCCCCTATTATCCCCCTGCTTGTGCTCTCTCTCTCTCAAATAAATAAATAAAATCTTTTTAAAAAATGATTAAAAAAATAAAAATTAACCTTTTAAACTGTATGTCCTAATGAGAGTGGTGCTATTTTTAATTTTATATTTATGGATACCAGTTTGGTAAAATTCATTACTCTTTTTTAAAGCTCTGAAAAGAACTCTTTAAAATTAACCTAGGGACACCTGGGTGGCTCAGTTGTTAGGCGTCTGCCTTTGGTTCGGGTCATGATCCCAGAGTCTTGGAATGGAGCCCCACGTCGGGCTCCCTGTTCAGCGGGAGGCCTGCTTCTCCCTCTCCCACTTCCCCTGCTTGTGTTCCCTCTCTCACTATGTCTCTTTCTGTCAAATAAATAAATAAAATCTTTTTATAATAATTAACTAATTAATTAAAATTAACCTTTTCCAGAGGTAATCTTTGAAGTATTAAAGAAAAGACTGCCATGCTGAAGATCCATCGTTTCTCCCTTCAGTTTGTCCACTGCAACATCAACGAGGGCAAGTTCATCCGCCAAATCCTAAAATACATGAAAGTTTTGAATAACATGTACTGAAGAATGTTCCTATTTCAGTTTTAGAAAAATGAGAAAAATTCATGTATGGCTACTTTATAATCAAAGTATAGTGATATTTTAATAGAAAAAATAATATAAAAGTGATAGTTGGTGAATGTGCCTAGAGTGACCAGAAGTCAAGGTAAGCAACAGAATGTAGCAAAAATTACTAATTGCTTCGCCTTCATATAATTGTTCGATTTTTTAGAAGTGGCTTTTTTTCTACTTCAGATAATAATTTAAAAATGATGAAAAGCTACTAAGTTCTTTCAAAGTATTTTATTACATTTAACCCTTATGCCTAATTTCTGAATTGGCTGAAGTTGTTTTTGATATGCATCCTTGTGGCCAAAATAGAAAGGTGGCCCTCTGTGGGAACCCATTTCAGGCACAGTACATTTAACATTGGATCTCCAACCTAGGGGTAGATGGGCATATAACCAGACCATAGCTCCCAGTCAGCGACACAATCATGAGGGTAAACAACGGATACACTTAACAACCATTCTGTTTTTTACTTTCAGTACCATATTCAATAAATTTCATGAGATATTCAACACTTGATTATAAAATAAGCTTTGTGTTTCATGGTTTTGCCCAACTGTAAGCTAATGTAGTTCTGAGCATGTTTAAGGTAGGCTAGGCTATGCTATGATTAAATACATTTATTATTAAATACATTAATAATTATATCTTAAATACATTTTCAACTTAGGACATTTTCAACTTATGATGAGTTTATTGAGATGTAACATCATCATAAATCCAGGAAGATCTGTATAGTCTCTTTTTTACTTACTCTAATTTGAATTGAGTTTACCAAATGAAACAGAATACAGAAGGAGTATATAGAAGGAGTGTTTTCCCTCAGATTCCAGTGGCCAGATTCTAAAGATAAGAAGTAAGGGAAAAGGATCAAAGTCCCTATTTGCTACTTTTTCTCAGATCAGATACCATCTGACCTTTCTGGAAAACTGTAGATTCTAAAATGTACTAAATTATGTGTTATACATCAGGAATATGAGGAAGATAAGGAGTTTCACCCAGAAGGATCACATATCACTTCTAAGCTAACTGATAAGAAAACCAGATCATGTTTATGGATCCATTTCTATATTAGTCTATGTATCTGTCTGGGTCTGGACAGGAAAACAGAAACCACTCTAAGCATTTCAAAAGAAGGTATTTAATACAGGGAACTGGTTAGACAGCTGCTGGAGGGCTGAAACGACAAAAAGGGAACATGTGAGGTAACCCAGAGACAGAAATCACAGTTTAAAGCCACTACCCCTAAGACTGAGGGAACAAAGAGAGACACTAAAGGAGGTGCTGATGGAGCCAGGCTCAGGCCTCTGTAAGAAGCAAAACCTGGCTGCTACTGATACCACTGAAGGGGCAAAATGAGGCTGGGAGCTCCAAAAGAAACTGGAAGCTAGAACCAACAGCTACCACTGAAGCAAAGGGCTGCAGCTGAGATGAAAGTGACCAAAACAAGCAAACAGAAAGGAGATCATTTCTCCACTCCTGCATTCCAACTTCCCTCTAGTGCTTCCTATTCGCAGAACCTAACAAGATGCCAACTGGTAAAGGAGAAAAAGATTATGCAGAGATCGAGCACCAGCACCACAGAATAGAGAAAGTTGGATTTGAAGCTGAATGATAGTAATAGCCAACACAGCCTGCTTTTTAAATTATATTTCCAACTTGAATTATGTCTCTTCTTTTTTTGTTAAAGATTTTATTTATTTATTTATTCATGAGAGATAGAGGCAGAGGGAGAAGCAGGCTCCCCACAGAGTAGAGAGCCCGATGTCGGACTTGATCCCAGGACCCTGGGATCATGACCTGAGCCGAAGGCAGACACTTAACCGACTGAGCCACCCAGGTGTCCCAGATTATATCTCTTCTTAACAAGTTACCAGACAATTCTCTTTTCAAGGGAATCTTCCCAGCTCTGTCTTTTTTTTTTTTTTTAAGATTGTATTTATTTGACAAAGAGAGAGAGCATAAGCAGGGTGGATGGCAGGCTGAGGGAGAGAGAGAAGCAGCTCCGTGCTGAACAGAGAGCCCGATGTGTGACTTGATCCCCGGACCCAGGGATCATGACCCGAGCCAAAGGCAGATGTTCAATGGCCTGAGCCACCCACGCATCCCCCAGCTCTGTTTGTCTTGACTGCCAAAGACAGAATTCAAATAATCCCAGAAGTTCTTGTTTTCTAAGAATTAACTATATCTATGAGTCATTTCTCAAAAAGAATTCCAAATAGAGAGCCTGCGTTTATTTAACCTGCCAGAATCTTTTAAGAATAGTTATGAGCGGGGTGCTTAGTTGGCACAGTCAGTTAAGCATCTGACTCTTGGTTTTGGCCCAGGTCGTGATCTCAGGGTCATGGGATCATGCCCCGCATTGGGCTTCATGTTCAGCATGGAGTTTGCTTAAGACTCTCTCTCCCTCTCCTTCTGCCCCTCCACCCCACTTTCTCTGTCTCTCAAACAAACAAACAAACAAACAAACAAACAAATAAATAAATAAATCTTAAAAAAAAAAAAAAGAATAGTTATGATTATTCCAGGATCTCTTCTCCAGGGAGTTCTAGAATAACCAAAGTAAGGTAAGAGTAAAGTTAAAAGAGAATTAAAATTAATCTAAGGAAGACTGCTAGGACCACTATATTCTGTACAGCAGAAGGAAGTAGGACATACTGCTATGCTTTAAAGTCCACCTTTCACTGATATATGCAGGTGTTATAGTACTTATTAGAGCCTATATGTTCCTTGAAGTCAGTAAACTATATAAATATGCACATTTTAATATCCTTCATCACTTTCCATTTATCCCACAATGCACATCTATAGGAACTGGGTATTTACCAGTATACTAAGGATTCTAGTAGGAAATAAATGGGCTCCAACAACTGACCTTCTCTCACAACTGGAATTCTGAAATTTCATGATAATATGCCTTGGAGGAAGCTTTTTTTTGATTCATTGTGCTGAGCACTCAATAAATTCTTTAAGATTTTATTTTTAAGTAATCTCCACACCCAATGTGGGGTTCAAACTCACAGCCCCAAGATCAAGAGTCACATACTCCACTGACTGAGCCAGCCAGGTGCCCCCTTCAATAAATTCTTTTTTTTCCCCAATAAATTCTTTATATCTGCAAACTCACATCCTTCAGTTTTAGACTTTTTCTTTTATCTCTTGAATAATTTTCTTCTCTTTCTTTTTTCTTACTGAAATGTCAATGAGTAATGGGATCTCCTGATTGGTCCTCTAATTTCATTTCTTTTCTATATTTCATCTTTGACAATCTGCTTTCTAGCAGCCCAATGGAAGTCAAAGGGTTTCTGCTTCACCATCCAACTTGTAGACCTTCAACTAATCCTACTGCTTTCAATAAGATGCCTGTCTTTACTGTCCTTAATGTCTTGAGTGCAGAACCTGCCTGATTCAATTTCTCCAAAGAATATACTCCTTCCCCTTGCCTGCTGAGATGTGAGAGGTGGTTTCTTGGTTGAGTAAGGTACAGAAGAGAATCTGGTGTTTTTCCTTCTGATCATATAAACTTTGAACCAATTCTCCTGTGTTTGTCCCATCTCTTACCACCACTTTGTGAGGCATTGGTACTTCTAATTGCTGAGCCTTTCTTGGGGTTCTGGAATTTAACTGGCTTTGCTTCTTCTCACCTTCCTCTGCCAGTTTAAAAAAAAAAAATTATCTAAATAGTATAGTAAAGCTTTTCAGAACACAACAGGATCTATGTCCAGTTGCCAAGGTTTGAATCCTAACCCCTTCACCTATATTAGCCACTTGACCATGGGCAAGTTACTTAATATCTATGCTTCACTATTCTCATTTATAAATGGAGATGATAATGTACCTATCTCCCAAGGTTGTTATAAAGATTAAATAATACCTTTAAAACATTTTAAAAAGCAAAAGGCTTGGGTTTTTTGTTTGTTTTTTGTTTTAGATTTTATTTGAGAGAGAGATAGTGAGAGAGAGCACGGGCAGGGGGAGGGGCAAAGGGAGAGGGAGAAGCAGACTCCCCAGTGAGCAGGGAGCCCGATGTGGGGCTCAATCCCAGGACCCTGAGATCATGACCTGAGCCGAAAGCAGATACCTAACCAACTGAGCCAGCCAGGTGCCCCGAGAAGCAAAAGCCTTGTACACTGAAAACTACAAATGTTGCTGAAACAAATTAAAGAAGATACAAATAAGTGGAAAGACATCACATGATCATGGATTGAAATACTTAATATTGTTAAGATGTCAACATACCCAAAACCCTCTACAGATTTAATGCAAACCCCTATGAAATCCCAATGACATTTTTTAAAGAAATAGAACAAAATCCATTCTAAAGAATCTTAAAGGACTCCAAATGGACAAAACAATCTTGGAAAAGAATAAATTTGGACGTCTCATGCTTCCTGAATTCAAAACTTCTAAGTTTTCTTAATAGCATGGTATTGGCATAAAGACATATAGACCAATGGAACAGAGAGCCCAGAAATAAACTCTCACATATATGGTTAAATAATTTTTGACAGGAGTGCCAAGGCCATTCAATGGGGGAAAAGAGAGTCTTTTCAACAAATCCAACTGGAATAAGTGGATATTTACAAGCAAAAGAACGAAGTTGGACCTATACCTTACACCATATACATAATTAAAAATGGATCAAAGACCTAAGTGTAAGACCTAAAACTATATAAAACTCTTAGGAGAAAATATAAGGGAAAAGATTGATGACATTGGACTTGGCAATGATCTTTGGATATGACACCAAAACACATACAACAAAAATAAAAGTAGATAAATTGAGCAGTGTCTGGGTGGCTCAGCTGGTGAAGCATCTGACTCTTGACTTCAGCTCAGGTGATGACCTCAGGGTCATGAGACCGAGCCCCATGTCAGGGTCTGTGCTGGGCATGAAGCCTGCTTAAAATTTTCTCTCTCCCTCTGCCCCTCCCACCCCCCTCCCACTCGCTTGCTCTCTCTCTTAAAAAAAAAAAAATAATAAATTGAATTACATTAAAATTAAAAATGTCTGGGGTGCCTGGGTGGCTCAGTTGGTTAAGCAACTATCTTCTGCTCAGGTCATGATCCTGGAGTCCCGGGATCGAGTGCCGCGTGGGGCTCCCTGCTCAGCGGGGAGTCTGCTTCTCCCTCTGACCCTCTCCCCTCTCATGCTCTCTCTCTCTCTCATTCTCTCTCTCTCAAATAAATAAATAAAATCTTTAAAAAAGTTAAAAATGTCTGTGCATCAAAGAACACAATGAAAAGAAACAGCAGAGTGAAAAGAAAACCACGGAGTGGAGAAAATACTTGAAAATCACAAATTTGGTAAGAGATTGATATCTAGAATATAAAAAGAACTCCTACAAGTCAACAACAAATAACCCGATTTAAAAACAGGCAAAGGAGATGTAGGATCTAGTTACAATGTAGCTATAAAGTGCTACCTTGTCTTTGCCCCCTGCTCAAAATAAAGCTGTTACCTTTCTAGCCCTGTCCACCATGGTGCTTAGCAGCCAGGGATGCATGGTCTCAGACATGTTTACCAAGTAAAACACTGACTTGAGGGGCGCCTGGGTGGCTCAGTCATTAAGCGTCTGCCTTCGGCTCAGGTCATGATCCCATCCTGGGATCGAGCCCCGCATCAGGCTCCCTGCTCAGCAGGGAGTCTACTTCTCCCTCTCCCACTCCCCCTGCTTGTGTTCCCTCTCTCGCTGTGTCTCTGTCAAATAAATAAATAAAATCTTTAAATAAAAATAAAAATAAAAAAATAAAAATAAAAACAGGCAAAGGAGTGGCATCTGGGTGGTTCAGTCGCTTAAGTGCCCGACTCTTGATTTCAGCTCAGATCGTGATCTCAAGGTCCTGGGGTCAAGCCCTGCACTGGGCTCTGCACTCAGCGAGGAGTCTGCTTGAGATTCTTTCTCTCCCTCTCTCTCTCTGCTCCTCCCCACCTCCACCACCCCTCCCTTCACTCTCCCTCTATCTAAAAGTAAATAAAATCTTAAAAAAAAAAAAAAATAGATCCTTGGGGCGCCTGGGTGGCTCAGTTGGTTAAGTGGCAGACTCGTGATTTCACCTCAGGTCATGATCTCAGGGTCCTGGGATTGATGACAGGCTTCACGCTCAGCAGGGATTTAGCTTGAAGATTTCTCTCCCTCTCCCTCATCCCCTCCCCCGCTTGCATGCGCTCCCTCTCTAAAATAAATAAATCTTTTAAAAATAAATAAAGGGGCGCCTGGGTGGCTCAGTGGTTAAGCCTCTGTCTTCGGTTCAGGTCATGATCCCAGGGCCCTGAGATTGAGCCTCACATTGGGCTCCCTGCTCAGCGGGGAATCTGCTTCTTCCTTTCCCTCTGCCCCTCCCCCCCCACTCATGCTTGCTCTCTCTCTCTCGTGTTCTCTCTCTCGCAAATAAAGTCTTTTTAAATTAATTAAAATTAAAAAAAGTTTCTATCTCTCTCACCCTCTCCCCTCTCCACCCCCACATATGTGCTCTATCTCTCTAAATATATATATATATGCAAAGGATTTGAACAGACAATTCTCCAAAGAAGATATACAAATTGCCAACAGGCACATGAAAAGATGCTGTACAAACAGAAAAGAAAATTAAAGGACTTCCATTATTTTATCAAATTTGGTACTTTTTGTTTTATAATGGGCATGTAATACTTTAACAAAAAAAATTTAAGGTTTTTTATTAAGTAATCTCTATACCCATGTGGGACTGAACTCACAACCTTGAGATCAAAAGTCCCACACTTCTCTGAACCAGCCAGGTGCCCCTAAAAAATTCTTTTTAAGTATAAGTTTCTGGGAAGTATGACTCTCACCCATTACTCTTCCAGGAAGGCAAGGTATGGGATCGTTTAAACAGAATAGTAACAAGACAATGCAATCAATGTGTCTCCTATGAATCAGTTCAAATAGTCTAGCAATACCGGACACATGGTAAACTCCAAATAAACGTTTCTTAAATTATGTCAAAATCAGATATCTAAGTGAACACATATTTGCTCTCAGAAGATTAGCCCTACAACCCTGAACTCATCAACATCTACAAGACCTAAAAGTTCTTGATTTTCAGCCACAGGATAGGCTTCTTACTTACCTTCAACAAGATACAAATAGCACAAGCCATGCCTACAGCACCAGTTCCAACAATGGTGATCTTATTCTGGGAGATTTTATCTTCCTCAATTAGATTCTCAATAAGCTTCTCCTTGATAGTTGACATTTTGAGAACCTGAAAGGGATGATGAAATTTCAGTGGAATCAAATTCCCTAAACTGATCACTCTCATAGGTATCAATGTACTAACCACACTGAACATCTAAGGACTTACCTATTGAGTCTGCAGAATGTTGGAGCCGAGTGTGGTGGGAAAGCGAAAAAAGGGGTGTGGAGAGGCAGAGAAGAACCAGTCTACCTAGGGGCTGGGGCCCCAATAGGCTTTTTTAGTTCTCCCTGCCCTCAAGCCATCATTTCCACCCCAGTGCTACACACGCACAAATGCTCTGGCGCAATTTAGTACAGACAGCCGGAACACGCAACGCACTGCCTTTAAGGAAGATTAAAAAAAAAAAAAAAGTTACACCAAAAGGAAACCACTAACGGCAGTTGAGGTGCGAAGCCCTGCGACAGTTACTCTCTGGGCCCCCAACGCAAGAACGCTCCCACGCACGACTCTTTCGCCAGGACGCAAGCTCCGCCCACCGCTGGCCCAGGCGCAGGCGCATTGGCAGGCAGTTAACGCCCTCTCGTGGGGGGGGGGGCGTTTCTGAGTGTGTGCCGTGGCGTTCTCCGTGACCCTGTGACGAGTTCTAGACAATCTTTATGAGTGTGCAGAAGAGGGATTTGGGGAGTATAGTTTCATTTCCCTCAGCCGGCCTAGGCCTGGGACTGATTTTAGTGCTGAATTTTTGGAAACCCTCATGACTATAGGCTGGTGAGGGCCAGGCTCCAGGCTCTAGTAGGAAAAAGCTCTCCTGAGAGCACCTCCTAGTCTTAGGGCGATGCCATCTTAAGACGGCGTCTGCGGAGATAGCTTCCAAATTGCTTCCAGATGACTTGGCTCTTTCTGAGGGCATGCTGAAGGGACCTGAGCCCCAAAGATGAAGAATTTAAGTAAAGGGTGGGCTTGGGATTGACCAACCTGAGTGTGAGGAACGTACTTTTCAATGTACTTACCATCTACACATTTATTTGCAGGAATTTAAAACATTATTATTGAGCTCTGTAACTTCAGGATGGAGTGCTGAAATAAAGATTGAATTAGGGACACCTGGGTGGCTCAGTTGGTTAAGCCTCTGCCTCCGATTCAGGTCATGATCTCAGGGTCCTGGGATCAAGTCCCGCATCGGGCTCCTTGCTCAGCAGGAAGCCTGCTTCTCCCTCTGCCTGCTGCTCCCCCTGCTTGTGTTCTCGCTCTCATAAATAAATAAATAAAATCTTTAAAAAATAAAGACTGAATTAAAGTAGTAATGAAAAGGAAAGGCCACATCTAGTTTTCTAAGGGTGGTTTTAGTTTATACCAAGAGTTTATAACCCACAGAAGGGGGCACAACCTCCTCAGTCATCTTTTGTTGAGTATTTGCATTTGAATCCTTTTCCATTTTGTTTCAAAGTCTGTGGTTTGTTTTTAATGTAGTTCACACCATGCAGTCACCCTGCTTAAAACCCGACCATGGATTTGCATTACACTTAACCGATTTTTTAAAATTAATTTTTTTATTAATCTCAGAAGTAGAATTTAGTGATTCATCAGGAAAGTAACTAATTTTTAGCACAACCTGAAAGACATTCATGATTTGGCCTCATTCTAGCCCTCCAATTTCATCTCAAGACACTCTCACCTCACTCCCCTCAAGCTTCTCAACAGCTTTTACTTGGCTCAGGACTTTTTGCTGTTCCCTATTTCTAGAAAGTTCTCCAACCATTCTCAAAGTTGATTCCTTATTTTCAGTCTTGGGCATAAACGACACTTCCTCTAGCTTTCCTTGACCAATGTCAATTACCACCACCTCCTCACATCTCTCCTATTTCTCTTATGGCACTTTCCACAAACTATCAGCCCCAAGAAATAGGTTACCTATAGCAGACAGGAGCAACAGCCACTGTTGGTCCTATACTATCACTTGCTTGTATGCTTACTTCCACAGTAACTCTGGTACTTGCACCTCATTTACCACTCAGTTGAGAGGTCAGCACTGCTGGCCAGGATGACCAACAGGCCTCTGGTGGCAGAAGGAGATGTCATCTTAGTAGTGACCAAACTCTTGATTTAGGTGAAGAAAAAGGCTCCTCATTCGTTTCTACACAAGGTGCAGGGCAGGCCCTTGAAATCCACTGCCTGAGTGGGCTCTCTGGGTGGCTACAATCCAAGCTAACAATCATTTTGCTTGATTGCAGCAATCTAAATACAGGAGGGCCAAGATTTGTACATTCCAACAACTGCCGAAGTGTAGTAGAAACACAGTGAAGAATTCTGAAAGCATGGCTTTGAAGTCCTGATAGTTTTACTTTGGCAACATGGGCTTTAGTGGAAAAGATGTTGATCCATCTACAGGTATATATATGTATGGATATATATATGAGGATAACTATGTTCTGAACATTCCATTTGCTTCCCCCACTAACTGGCAACTTGTGTAAAATGGGACTAAGGCATACTAAATCCACTTCCCAAGTTATTAAGACTAAAATGAGATCATATTACATTTAAGAGAATCAGGGCTTCGGGCGCCTAGGTGGCTCAGATGGTTAAGCGTCTGCCTTTGGCTCAGGTCATGATCCCAGGGTCCTGGGATCAAGTCCCACATCGGGCTCCCTGCTCCTTGGGAGCCTGCTTCTCCCTCTGCCTCTCTCTCTCTCTCTGTCTCTCATGAATAAATAAATAAAATCTTAAAAAAAATAAAAGAATCAGGGCTTCTTGCAGAGCTGGCCTATTCTTTGCCTGGGGCAGGAAGATACAAGGTGATCCCGGAACACTTTTTGTGCCAAAAAGTGAGGAAGGTTTACAAGATTAAATCTAAAAAATTCATGGGGAGCCTGGGTGGCTCAGTTGGTTAAGCGACTGCCTTTGGCTCAGGTCATGATCCCGGAGTCCTGGGATCGAGTCCCACATCGGGCTCCTGGCTCGGCCCCTCTGACCCTCTCCCCTCTCATGCTGTTTCTCTCTCACTCGCTCCCTAATAAATAAATAAAATCTTTTTTTAAAAAATCTAAAATTCATTAAAGATTACATTAATAAATCTTTAAGCATTATTTTTCAGTCATGTTGGTATTGGCTAATTTATTTTATCAGATACGAAATTAATAAATGTAAATAAATTTTTAAAAAAGACTTAAGTTGCCTCAAAGTTTACAAGAGGCTATGGCATAAATACAGGTTTCTATTTGGAGTAATTAAAAAGTTCGTAGATAGTGGTGAAGGTTGTATAACTATGCGTTCCACAGAATTAAACTTTAAAACATGCATTTTATGTGTAAATTGTATCTTAAGGCTTTTTAAAAAAAACTATAGAAAAGCAAATCCTATTATACTACTTGTCAAGACTACATAATTTGCAGGGGTGCCTGGATGGCTCAGTCAGTTAAGCCTCCAACTCTCAGTTTTGGCTCAGGTCATGATTGCATGCGTCCTAAGACAGAGCTCTGCAGTTTGGGCTCAAGGGTATCTAGCTGTGTGTCGGCTCCACACTCAGCCAGGAGTCCGCTTGAAGTTTCTCTCCCTCTGTTCCTCATCTCCCTCTCTCAAATAAATCTTAAAATAAGACTACATAGTTCAGTCTTGTCCTTTTACATTTGCCACACACTTGGAAAAAAGCTAATTATTTCTCTTCACTAGCTCTCAGGAAGTAAACTGGTGAAAAAGATGCTGGAGAAGTGATGGCAATAAAGTTGTCCTAGTTAACCTCTAGTAATATTCAGGCCTGGGGGCGCCTGGGTGGCTCAGTCGTTAAGCATCTGCCTTTGGCTCAGGTCATGATCCCAGGGTCCTGGGATCGAGCCCCGCGTCAGGCTCCCTGCTCAGTGGGAAGCCTGCTTCTCCCTCTCCCACTCCCCCTGCTTGTGTTCCCTCTCTCGCTGTCTGTGTCAAATAAAATCTTCAAAAAAAAAAAAAAAAAAAAAAATTCAGGACTGGGTAAGGGTCATAGTTGTAGATATATTTTGAGGAAAATCTAAAATTTTTGAGTGGACAACCACCAGGGCTATTTGGTTTAAAATTGTTAATTGCCATTGTTACTGGCCCCAGAGAACAAAAGGTTCTTAAAATCTGTTTGCCAGGACGCCTGGGTGGCTCGTCTGCCTTCAGCTCAGGTTCTGGGATTGAGTCCTGCATCGGGCTCCTTGCTCAGCAGGAAGCCTGCTTCTCCCTCCACCTGTAGCTCCCCCTGCTTGTGCTCTCTCCCTCCCTTCCTCTGACAAAATCTTTAAAAATATATATATTTTTAAATCTGTGTTTCCCTATTGTGACCAAGTACCACTGCTTATGTTGTTGGCAAATGGTATTTTTACATTCATGTATAGAATGTCATCTACAGAACTGTAGGGTGCCAATTATGATTTGCACTACTATCAAGTTTTTTTTGTTTTTAAAGATTTTATTTGACAGAGAGAGACATAGCGAGAGAAGGAACACAAGCAGGGGGGAGTGGGAGAGGGAGAAGCAGGCTTCCTGCCAAGCAGGGAGCCTGACGCGGGGCTCGATCCCAGGACCCTGGGATCATGACCTGAGCCGAAGGCAGACGCTTAACGACTAAGCCACCCAGGCGCCCCACTATCAAGTTTTATCTCATAATACCTTGGGACTTAGTATATTAAAATTATAATGGAAATGGTACCAAAACAACCTAATCCATCTAGTCACACCCTTAATACATTAAGTCACATCAAAGTCTGATCATTAGTAATAATACACCTTAAAAAAAATCATTGCAGGGGCGTCTGGGTGGCTCCGTCGGTCAAGTGTCTGCCTTCGGCTCAGGTCATGATCCCAGGGTCCTGGGATTGAGTCCCCCATCGGGCCCTTGCTCAGCGGGGAGCCTGTTTCTCCCCCTGCTTGTGCTCTAACAGATGAAAAATAAAATCTTAAAAAAAAAAAAAAAAATCATTGCAGTGTTGCCTAAGAATACTCTAATGGGTCCCAATAATATAATAAATTGAGAGTCACTGTTCAAAATTTATTTGGTATTTTAGATGGTATGACACTTAGTTGGTTGCATTGTCTTTTTACATTATATGGCCATGTACGCTACATTCTGACATACATGGTACACAAAGTAAGATCCTTTAGAACAGTTATGCACAATACACGCAATACTGAATTTATACATTGGATTCCAGGACATGACTGACTGGAAAAGATGGACTAGGCATGTCGGGTGTTGGGAGAAGGAACCCGAGGTGACAGAACACACAGTAAACACACATCCAGTGTGAAGAGCAGCCGCAGCTCTGGCCGTGGTGCCTCTGAGACGGTGGGGCTAACTTACGTTAACCCATTTAGGGCTACAAAGACAGGTATCATCAGCATCAGGATACAGCTGCAGGGTTTGGTGAACCATTGCTATTTGGAACTTTAGGAAACTGATGTTTTTTCTTAGGCCATTTTAATATTACTTGAGTAACAGATCAGATAATAAGGACAATATACACAATCTCCAACTAAAATCCTGCTGTAGTCTAGACAGTGAAGTGGTACATTAGAAAACTTTAAAACTGCAGCTCCTTTTGGATCCCCCAAAGTGTATCTGCACTCTTCTTCAAACGGGCCTCCTCCTCAGGAGTCAGAGTCACCTTCACAACATCTGAAATTCCATTCTGTCCCAAGATGCAAGGGACACTAAGGAAGACATCATCTTTAATTCCATAGAGACCCTGAAGACAAAATGAAAAGTATTTTATGTTTTGAGTATGCATTCTGGGGTCTCCCAAGACTCGCATTCTTTACAATTATGAAGCTTATTTAATACAACTTGAGAAGCAGGAATTCCTTTCTATCATTTTCAGTTAGGATGTTATGAACAGTGCAAGTCATCAAAATACCAGGAAAGACTTCTGTTCTAAAAGAAAATCTCAATTATTGCCATTATCCATATCACTGTCAAAATTTTTATTGGTAACATCTTGGCAACTCTACCCTGACTTTTCTCCTCCGAAGAAAAAATTTTTCTTTTATGGTCTTCCACCCACCTCCACTTATTATCATAAGTTATCAAGTATCTATGTGGTGAACATAGTATACTAGCAGACATTAATCCTAAAGCTCAATGATTTCTCTCCAAAAAGAAAGTTGTGAGTGCATTAATTTATGTCACTTAAATCAATGACAACTAACCTAACTGCTTTCACAGAAGAATCTTTTTTAAAAAACAGGAAATAATGGCATTCAAATACAATGTATCACTACACAGACCTACCTTAATCATGGTGGAAATTGGATGCACCCGCCTAAGATTCTTCATTATACTTTCGGCCAGATCTGCCACAGACAGTCCAATGGCCCAGGAAGTGTAGCCTTTCAGTTTGATCACCTCATAGGCACTGTAGGGTAGGGAAAGATAGGAAAAGGTAGGAAAAAGTAGGGTAAGAGAAAACAAACAACAACATTGCTTTCACTGAACACATGCTTTACAGCAAATAATGCCATAAAGTTACATTATATTCTGAGTAATGTTTGCCATGTATACCAAGATATTATGTATAGGGATGTTCCAAGAGTATTGTTAGTAATTTCAAAAACCCTGGCAATAAGCCCACTGCTCTCCAACAGGGAGAATGGGTAAACTGTGATACATACAGTGAACATATTCAATACAGTGGAATATTACAAAACTGTCAAAACCAGTAACTATATCTACATGCAACAAAATAAAGAATTCCTTAAAATGTAATACTGAATTTAAAAAAGTAACTCCAGAATTACATATAGTGTGTTTGACTCAAGATTATTTCAAGCAAGGGATGGGTGGTAGGACAGAAAGATGAGTGGGAGAAGGAGCTCAGAACTCATTCATATCCAAGGACCAGGAGACTAATGATTCTAACCCCAAAACACAACACTTGGTTGACAGCTATTGTTAATGTTTCTTGGGTTGGGTGGTGGGTTCACAGGTTTTTGTTTTTTGTTTTTAAGATTTTTTTATATTTGACAGAGACACAGCGAGAGAGGGAACACAAGCAGGGGGAGTGGGACAGGGAGAAGCAGGCTTCCCGCTGAGCAGGGAGCCCGATGTGGGGCTTGACCCCAGGACCCCGGGATCACGACCTGAGCCAAAGGCAGACGCCTAACGACTGAGCCACCCAGGCGCCCCAGGTTCACAGGTTTTTATAAGAGGGCCTTGTCTAAATCAATCATGATTCATTATTCATTTCTATAGACCTGAGGTCCACACATGATTTATAATAAGTAAATAATGGGGTGCTTAGGTGGCTCAGCCAGTTAAGCGTCTGCCTTCGGCTCAGGTCATGATCCCAGGGATCTGAGTTCAAATCCCGTATCTGGCTCCTTGCTCAACGGGAAGCCTGCTTCTTCCTCTGCCTGCCACCCCCACCCCCTGCTTATGAGCTCGCTCGCCCTCTCTGATAAATAAAATCTTAAAAAATATATATATGTATGTATATGTAAAATAAGTAAATAATGCTACCAAGCTGAAAGCTTCCCTATTTAAACAATTCCTAACAGTTTATATTTTCAGTACAATTAAGAATCTAGACATTGTTTAAAACTTTATAATCATCCAGGGACGCCTGGGTGGCTCAGTTGGTTAAACGGCTGCCTTCGGCTCAGGTCATGATCCCAGGGTCCTGGGATCGAGTCCCACATCGGGCTCCTTGCTCAGCAGGGAGCCTGCTTCTCCCTCTGCCTGCCTCTCCCCCTGCTTGTGTTCTGTCTCTCTGACAAATAAATAAATAAAATCTTTAAAAAAAAAAAAAAAAAACCTTTATAATCATCTGAATAAACAAGTTAGCTGCTTCTATTCATAAAGCCTGTAACAGGAAACTGAATTTAAAAATTCTTGGGGCACCTGGGTGGCTCAGTCGGTTGAGAATCGGACTCTTGTTTTCAGCTCAGAGTGTGATCTCTGGGTCGTGGGAATGGCCCCATGTCAAGCTCCATGCTCAGCAGGGAGGTCTGCTTAAGATTCTCTCTCTCCCTCTGCCCTTCCCCTGCACCACACGCACATGCTCTCTCTCTCAAATAAATAATCTTTTCTTAAAAAATAAACATTCTTATTTCTGTGGCACCTGGATGGCTCAGTCCATATAGCATGTGACTCTTGATCTCAGGGTTGTGAGTTCAAGTCCCACATGGGGTGCAATAAAGAAAACTTTAATAAATAAAAATTCTCATTCCTAACTGAATGAACCATATATGCTATTGAAGACTGAATGTGAAATAAGACTTACAAGCACTAAAAGATTTATACTATAGAGAAATATAGCAAAAAAAGACTGTTGCATTAATAAATTTTAATATCTCTACTTCTGTGTTATAGTATGCTCTTTAACAAAACTTTAGGAAAAAGCTTGTTTATCATTAAGTAATCTCTACACCCAACGCGGGACTCGAACTCACAAGCCTGAGATCAAGAGTCACATGCTCCATCAACTGAGCCAGCCAGCCAGGCATCCCTAGAAAAATGTTTTCCAACAAGTACTCAAATGCTATTAAACTTTCAAACTTTCAAATAAAAATAATGTTTTAATCTTCTGTACTGCCAAATTATGGGATCTATTACCTGTCAACCACCTGTTTGTGAACCTCTTTCCACTGTTCCTTATCTCCATCAGTGCCTAAGTCAGGGTGCAGATTCTTCAGAGAGACACCAGCAACGTTCACTCCACTCCATACAGGCACTAAAAGAAATAGTACAGAATACATTTATTTCCACACGCCATCCAGGAGACCGCAATAGCACTTGAACCGGTCTTAACAGTTAACCTGCTTCAAGTGAACATACTCCTTGCTTGCTGACTTAAGACCCTTGATCTGTAACAGCACTAAGTCACTTTCTTTGAGATTTGCAGACCACTGGCCTTCGGAAATGAAGAACAAGAACTTTCCGAGGCCACAGAG